GCTGAAGAGAGTGCACACTGCACCTTCAAGGACCTACTTGACTCCCATTGTCGCACCTCGGGCTGGAGAACTCGGTATTGGTAGATTTTCAGAGGCATGACAAGAGTCTCTCATAGGAACGCTCAAATGATGCATTTCCCCAGAGCAAGGTCATATAGTAGCTGACCTTCAAACTGTGCGTGAGGCAGGAAAGGCATTGTGGGCTCCACTGGTGAATTCCTATGGCACACCAAGGACTTCACTGGGGGTCTCTTATCATAGACCCTCTGCTCACTGGTATGGAGACCTTGTAAAATTAGGCAAACCTGCCTTAGGGAAAATACTCCTTTTCCAGAGGTGACTCAGCCCTATGTCAACTCAGGCCTCAGACTGGCCTGTAGCCCTCTTGTTCCCTCAGTGCCTAACAGTAAGGCTGCATATAGTAACCTATTTACTCCCAGCACTAAACCTGTATGATAGTTCATATAGCCTTTCTACTCATCAGAAAACTGAGACTGGGGAGTGTTGAATGTCTTGGGGAGAGTTCTTGATGGTGGAGTTGGAATTAGAGCCCAGGTTTTCTGAGTTCTCTGCCAATAGTGATTTCACCAGTTGGCTCCACCCACAGCTTGTAGCAGAAGTCAACCAACTCAGCGAAGTTGTGGAGAAATCTCACATCACCTATCGGGGGACCGAATTGAGAAAGAAGATGTCTTAGAGGATGACTCTCAAGCCTGTTTAGATACACTTTGATTTGAACCTCATTAGTGGGAGAGAAGATGGATGTCATGTGACACATCTTCCCACCGACTTGTAGACATGATGAGAAGCAAAACGAAACAATACTGAGCGTCTACTATGTACCAGGCTCAGTTCCTAAGGCCGTAAGATGGACGTGGAAATGGCCATGCACAGTGTGGTTTGATTTGATCACAGTTGCCCACTGCAAACAGCATCTGTAACAAGTCAGGAGACGTGAACTGTGGTGAAGTACTTGGATGCGGGGAGTTTCAGGACCTGTGAGTGTCCTAGGCCAGCCTTGAAAAGAGGGGCTTCATGTAGGAAATGCTCAGCAGTGATGATGGTGGTAGCAACAAGAATTTCATGTCTACTGGCCATGCCACCCAGTTTCCATATCTTACCAATGTTCACAGGTCATGTGACAGGTTGATTCATCCCATCTTGCAGACTGAAAAATGAAACATTAAGGAGAGGGTTGTACATTTTGCTAAAGCTGCCATCGCTTTGATAGTGTCATGCATCTTAACATTTTTAGTTCAAGAAGTTTAGGTTCTGTCATTTGGGGCACGCTTGCAGAGTGTGGCCCCATTGACATGAGTAATCTCTTTCTGGGCACTTGTTTACAGGGAGACTCCATCAAAGACCCTCAGTGCCTGAGCTCTGAAGGGGAGGCTTCGAAACGAGCCTTTCCCAAACCTTCCATTGAGGCCATGAGATACAACTTTGAGAAGCTGGTATCTTGAAAGAAAAACACTTTTTTAAAAAAAATTAAATGCTCAAGCCAGTTTCTTTCAATATCCATATGTAAATTACTTTAACATCAGTTGCTGGCATAGCCAGGTTTTTTCTGTTTGGATTTTATTTCATATTTTACTATCCATTGAAAAAAAGGTGTTTGCTTGAATGTGTAAAAACAAGCGTGTTTGTTCTCCCTTCCTGAGAGTGAGTTCCCTTCAGATCCATCATATCTCAGGGAAGATGAAGCCGCAGGCAGCAGACACAGACACAGCAGAGCTCCAACCCAGCAAAGGAGTTTGCACAGCTGCTCTGCTTCAGAGACGAGGAAGGAGCATACCCAGCTGCTCTGCAATTGGAGCCAGGAGCAGAGGGATGGAAGTGGGCTGCCATTTGCTGCTTCTACTCCACGGGGACTTTGCATTTAAAAACGTATTCTTTCATACCTTAACAATATTATTTTATGCATTAGTCAATAATATTTGGGAAATTTAAAATTTAAAGGTTTGAGGGTGGGCAGAATGACTCAGTGAGTAAAGGCACTTGCCACCCCACCATGCAAGCTTGAAGACCCAAGTTCGATCACCAGAACCCACATAAAGGTGGAAGGAGAAAACTGACTCTGCAAAGTGGTTCTTTGACTTCCACACCTGTTCTGTGGTACACATACCTCCCCCTCCCTCACATCACACACACACACACACACATACACACACACACGTGCGCGCGCTTGCACACACAAGACTTTTTACCTTAAAAAGTGGTGTCAGTAATCCTAGCTAACAAGAGAAGTATGTGAAAAATAATGTTTTGCTCCTTCTGTCATACAGGCAGGGAACTGAACAAGGTGGTAAAGATGCCGTAAGCTAAACCTGCTCTCTGGAAGGAGACAGTCACTTAAACAGGAGGTAGTGATTAAGTTGGTTATTGTATGAAAATCTCTTAGAACAATGGTATCTGGCATATGGTTAGTAAGCATGACGTAGGTGAAATATTCTTCATCTAAGCCTCTAAAATCTGAAATGTTTGAAAATGCAACATTCCTCGAGCAGATGTGTGACCATGAGTGACCCTGCCTGCTGGTTCATTTGTGTAAGAACCGTGCTTCACGGTCAATGTTATTTAAAATCTCTCAAAGTGTGCTGGGGTTCACTCATCAGTTAGAAGAGCATACAGCCCTCGCAGGGGACACAAGTTAGATTCCCTGCACTCACATCAGGCGTCTCAGAACTACCTGGAACTCCAACTTCAGGGGGAATCCAATGCCTCCGGCCTCAGAGGGCACCTGTACACACATGCAATAGCCACACACATACACATTCATAATTTTAAAACAAATCTTTACAAAAATTTATGATATTATTTTCCTTCTCCATATGAAGCATGAATTAATTTCATGTTTGTACTTGGGTCCCATCCCAATACATTTGTGTGTTCATATTCTAAACTATGGAACAATCTATATTGAAATATTAATAGTTCCAAGCATTTCAGATAAGATTGACTTGATCTGAGCTTGACTCACATGTCTGTCACCGCCATCACTGCTGTTACTGTTAATGTAATGTGGTCTCTGTATAATGGGGAAGGCGCAATACAGTGAGCCAAGTAAGTTTGGGAGAGGTATTTTTGTGAGTTGGATCTGGAAGACAGAATCATAATTGGCCAAAAAGACATAACAGAATATTCCAAACCATGGGAACAAAATATACCAAAGCTCAGGGTATGGGAATCAGGCAGTTAAGGACATCAGAAGTTGGGAGTAGATGGTATGTACAGGGGGTGTGCTGAGGACAGACCACTGGGTTCCCAGGAGAGGAGGGCAGCCATAAGCTCTTATTTCCTGTTCCTCAGCAGACACTATGGTGTGCTGAGGGAAAGGAACCCAGAGGAGGCTGGGGAGACCTCAGCAGCTTCCAATGAGATCATGAGTGAACACAAAAGCCACTGGGCAGAGCAAACTGAGGGTGCAGACCTGAATTTGTGGAATACTACGTGAGTGGCGGCTGTTGAGGGAAAGTGGTAAGTGTCACAGAAGTAACTCGGCTCTCCGGGTACCACGTGGGAAGCATGCGTTCCCACAGCAGGGGTCACAGCAGACTACTCAAAGCGTGGGCCTGAAGATGGGGACCAAGCCAGCAGGAGGTATTGAGTGAGTTTTAAACTGAGGGGCAGATTAGACCTGTTTGAGCCCTATCATGAGCTAGACAGAAGGACACAAACATCAGATGGAGAGATATTGAGGACTCCAAAGACGAGAAGACCCTGCACCCCTCCGCAGCACACCCTCTGAATGTGTCTCTCCTAGACAAGACAAGCCCAACCCCCTACGGGGCCAGGTGAATTCAGAGACTGCTAGGCAAGAGAACTACAGGATCTCTCCCAGGATGCTCTCTGAAAGCCTGTCTGACTACGACACCTCTTAATGTGGACTCTCTAGGGAGCTTTAATGACAATGTGACAGAACCAGGGGCTTGGTTTCCTCCAGCATACATTGTCTCGAGTGCCACAGTGGTGAAACAAGTGACACTCTCCAGTGTTTCCTTCTGTGTTTGTTCTCAGTTTGGTTTTGCTGTTCTCGGTATGGAACCCAGAACCAGTGAGCCACATCCCCAGCCCTTGGGAGGGCAGGGGTTACTGTAGAGTTTGTGTGTTTGTTTTAGTTTTTAAAAACTAGAATAATAGTAATGGGTTTAACTACAGGATTTTCAAATACACTTCGCTTTTGTTGACTTTTTTCTCTCACTCCCCTCCCCAGTTCCCTTGCTCCTGGCTTACCACCCCTCCTTCTCCCAGCCTCCCTTTTGTTTATATGTCACATATTATATATTGTACTACCCTCTTTTTATGTCTTCCTATCCCCAAAGTGTTTTCCCTTCTCATGGTCCCCTTTCTTATTTCAAAACGCATGTGTACACACCTATGCACATCCACAAATGCACATTCATACCCATAAATGCTTACACAGTAAGTCTGAACACCTCCTTCCAGTTCCAGCACTAAATAATTGCAAATTACACTAACAGGGGTAAACTATCCTTTTATGTCAATAGTAGGGAGAGGGGACGTGGAATTCTCAAAGTTACAGGTTGGCAGCATGGTCACTTGTCAGGAAGGGCTTGAACATAATATTGGTTTCTGTCCCGTGTAAGTGTAGGCAAGTTTGACCCTGTCAACTGAAAGCATGTGTTACTTTAACATTGGCGAATGTGCAATCGTTGTGGCAGGCTCTGTGAAAGGTTTCCTTACCAGCTCATGTTTCCATGGCACCCACCTTCCTGATGCCATCCTACCTGGCCTGCTGGGGAGCCTTGGTTGATGGGCCCTGGGACCCATCTCCCATCCTATCCAGGTTCCAGGGTAGTCTGGCCAGGAAACAAGTTAGCAAATGTTTTGATCACACTTTGCTGAGGCCTTAAGTTGATGCGCTGTATCCAAAGGGCCTGTCTCCATGGCTGTGGTCCTAAGGTGCACACACAGGATGTTCTGGGTTTCATCTGATGCTCCCCAACTCACGTCTGCTTCTCACCCTCCTTCTGCCACAGATCCTGGCGCCCCTGTGAAATTGCCTTGTCTGCCAGTGAAACTGTCGCCTCCGCTACCTCCAAAGAAAGTCCTGATCTGTATGCCTGTTGGGGGGCCAGAGCTCTCCCTGGCATCCTACGCAGCCCAGAAGAGCAGCCAGCAGGCCGTGGCCCAGCACCACCACACTGTCCTGCCATCCCAGATGCAGTACCAGCTGCAGCATGGCAGCCACGGCCAGCACCTCCCATCCTCCACCGGCACCTTGCCCATGCACCCCTCCAGCTGCAGGATGATTGATGAGCTCAACAAGACACTTGCTATGACCATGCAGAGGCTGGAAAGGTAACAACGGGAAGGGGGTTGCTTAGGAGGGGGACAGACTGGGGATCACAGCATGTGATGCTTCATTCCTTTCGCTTTGAAGAGCAGAAAAGGGCTTGAGAGTAAAGGCATGTCAAATCTGAGGATTAAGAGAGGTTAGCCGGACGGTGGTAGGGCATGCCTTTAATCCTAGCATTCAAAAGGCAGAGCTAGGCAAATCTCTGTGTGTTAGAGGTCTACAGAGCAAGTTCCAGGACAGCCAGAGCTACACAGAGAAACCCTGTCTTGAACCCCCAACCCCAGCCAAAAAAAGAGGTATGGAGGAATAGTATATTTCTACTGCCAGACTACTGAGTAATCACGTTTACTTTCTTTAAAATATGGAGTGGGCAAGGAGTAGCTTTGCAAGTATAAGGACCCAAGTTCAATCCCCAGAGTCCATGTAAAAAAAAAAGCCAGGCAAGATGGTACAGCGATGAGAAAGCAGAGACAGGTAGATCCCTGGGGCTTGCTGGCCAGCCAGCCTAGCTTACTTTGCAAGTTCCAGGCCAGCGACAACCTGTCTCAGAAAGCAGTAAGAGGTGTCTGAGGAATGACATCCTGGCCTGCTCACACACATGCATACATACACACACAGAGACACACACATACACAGGAGTAACATATACATATGCTCAATAGGCCATGTTGTTTCTCTAAACATTGCCATTTTGAGAAATAATGTGCATGTGTGATCATTAATGGTGGCCTCCCCGCCCTGATGTGGATAAATGGAGAGAGAATAATTTTATATTCCATAGTATATGGCTGACTTTTAGTTTTATGACTATCCTGTGATATTGAAAGTGATTTAAATGCAGCAGGAAGAGATGAGAGGTGGCAGGAGGGGATGGCAGGGGTAGGCAGGAGAGAAGAGTGGAAAGATTTGCCCTGGAGGAAACAGAGTGCTGGAGTCCAGCGATAGGCATGGGAGCCATTGGTATGTGAAAGTATAATCCATCCTTCACCAGAAAGTGCCTCCAGATGCATTTCTGGGAGGCCTGCACAGAATCCTCTCCCCCACCCAGGTCTGAGGTCTAGCTTCACCCCTGACATTGGTTGTGACAGTGGGACCCCAGGACCACTGCCACACTGTCTGTGTCTAAGGGATGTCTGGGATTTTTCAACATGCCCCTGAGGCACACTGCTTGACCAAGTTCCCTAATGACAGGGAGAGTGTGTTTCCATCTGAGGTGAGGGGGTATATCACCAAGGGTAGTGATGACTGTCTACTGAGATGTACAGATGGGGAAATCGTGGTCTAGAAGGCTCAGTATACTACTACAACAGGCAAACACAAGTTTACCATGGGATGCCATTCTGCCTCCATGCCAAGTGCTGTATGTTGGGAAGTAGCTACCTCCGAGGGAAGCTGCTGCCTCTAACAGTTCCAACGTGATTGCTTTCTGATAATACTCACCATTGTTGCCGAAGGAAAACAAGATTTAACTTGCTCCCTTGCCATTCATTCCAACTACCAGCGTTGTTAATGAGGACAGCAATAACCTTGAGTGACACCTTGAAACATGCCGCACGTACACACTGCTGATATGTCCATCACTAGGGAGACTGAGTAAAGAAACTAGGAAAAGTTGAGGAAGTTCCCCAATGCCACCCACCCAAAGGGTACCTCACAAAGTGCTCATTACTCATTCACACCCACACTGCAGAAATTAAGGACACACTTTTCAACACTTTTATAGAAATTAGATGGGATCTTTAGTTTGTTGACTATTAAATGGCTTCATTTTTTAAAAAAATAAGTTGATTGTATTTTCTGAATTCATTTGTGACAGATTGGAAATTAAAAGAAATAAAAAAATAAGAATCATTGCTTCAAGCACTGGCTGCTCTTGCAGAAGGCCTAGGCTTGGATCCCAGCATACACATTAAGAGTGAATCTTAGAAGAATTGTCATTTCCACAAACATATTTATAAAGCAGTGTCCTGTATAGTAGGTTGAGGGTGCAAACTTTCAAGCCTGGGTCCTTCCATACTCCCCACACCCCTAACTCTCTCCTGTAGCTGTTTCCTTAAGACATCAGTCTTTACCTCAACTCTGGTCTTCTTTCCTGGGAAACACTTTGAAATCTTTCAAGAAACCTATGGTGCTCTCTACATAAGGGTTTCTCTAGACCTTTTGACATCTTGTGCATGTTCCTCTGAGATTACCTTAAATCTTTTCAGATTTTTATCCATCTGTCCCTGCCACATAGTTTATTTATAGTGTAGGCTCACCAGGTTTAGGGGTAGGGACATAGAGCACAAGGAACTAGAAACTTGCATGGCCTGTAATTTTCCACAGTCCAAAAAAGGGTTCATATTTATCCCACCTCATGGTCAAGTGAATATGTTCCAGGATCAGGACTCATAACTCAGACACACTGCTTATTAGCAATATGACCTGAAGTGTGTTACATAGCCTCCATGGGCTTCCACTCCTCATCCACAAAACAAGAATAACATTAACAGACCAGCCTCATTAGGGCTCTTTGTGAAGATCAAATGATTTAATCAGTCCTAATCAGTCAGATCATTACGCAACATACCATAAATGTCCAATAAATGGCAGTGAGCATTAAGCAAAATTATATAGCACATAAAATTTTTCTTCAGTGCGTCTAAAAGGCACATTGCAAATGGATTTGATTCAATCTTGTTGAAGGCTCTGTGTGTGTGTGTGTGTTTGTGTGTGTGTGTGTGTGTGTGTGTGTGTGTGTGTGTACTCACCAGTTTCCTTAAATTACATGGTCTTTATTTCTCTCCAAATGTGATTTATGTCCTTTTGAAAGGTGACATTTTACTATTTTAAATGTTATTCAGGGTTTTTTATTTTATTTTATTTTTATTCTCCACAGTAAGCTCTGCAGTCTAATTGGCATTCATTCTAGAACTTGGACTTTCGATTTCAGCCAGCCACTGACTTTTTCTGAGGTCAATCCATTTGATGCTCTCTGTGCTCTCATTTCCTGTTGGCAAAATGAAGTGGGATATGAGGGGATTCTAGAAAGATCCTCAAGGGACTGTGCTTTTAAAGAAGTCTTTTCTTCGTTGATTAAAGGCGGGTTCATACCTAGCATTGCTCACACAGAAACCTGGGGACATCCTGGCAAGCCCCACATCTGACTGCCATCAAATCCTCTCCACTCTGCTGTGGTGTGGAGATGTCTGCATCAGCCTCCCTGCCCCCTGCTCCTGGCCCTCCCTCTCCCAGATAGTCTATTGTCCTCACCCATGGGGCTGCAGTCCTCTCCTACCCCAGCACCCGCCCCTTCTCCCCATTCATCATGGTTCTCAGAGAGAGAGTGTGGCCCACTCAGCAGTTCATGTGCATGTTTGGCAGGGGCTGCCATTAAAGTATCAAAGGCTGGGTGATCCAAACAACACAGACGCATTCTTTCCTAGCCTCAGAAGCTGAAAGCCCAAGATCCTAGTGCCAGCACCCATCAAGGCCCTCCTTTCTGTGCCGTCTCACGGTGGGAAATGAGAGGGAGAGAGTGGTCAAAGGTGAGAAGCGGGATTACATCCGCTTTATAATGAGTGTATTCTCGTGACAAGGACCCTACCACCTTGACAATGACAGTCTATTCGTGACAGCAGAGTTTGTGTGATCTAACCACCTCTCCTCCGCACGGCTGCACTGGGCCTTAAGTTTCTAGTGCATGGATTGAGGGGGAACCCATTGTAATCATAGCCCCTAGCCACGGGAAGATCCATCAAGTCCTTGCCAAATAGCTTTTGTGGAACAGGTTTCATGTCTGGTGCTGGGAAGAGAATAAAGACAACAGAAAGGGTCCCTTCTCTCAGCAGACCCTGGCATCCCTGGGAGGGCAGACTGAGTGAGCCCATCTGTGATAGGTACAGAGTGGGAGCCGTGCTTATAATAGGACTCCCAGCTGTTTAATGGGAGGGGCACCTCAGGGTAGTCTTCTCTGACAGCTAAAGTGTGGCCAGATGATGGGAGAGAACGTTCTAGTCATTTCAGAGGAAGTAACAGTACATGCTCTCCAAATGAGTGAATGAGACTTTCCATATGATAGAATGCTAAGCCAGCAGTTAACACTCCGAGTTTTTAGAAGATTGATTTTAGACTACAAGAACAAGAGTGAGGATAGAAGAACCTCAGCATCCTTGGTGAGGGGGCACTTAGAGACTTCAAGAGAGGTTGGACAGGAGAGATGCTATCACACCTGTAAACCCCAAACTCAGGAGACAGAGCAAGAAGATTACAACTTCGAATCCAGCCTATACCACACAGTGAAATCTGTCTGGGGGAGGGGAGAAAGAAAGAGGAGAAAGGATGAACACCACCAACAAAACAACAAAGTATCTGCCAGCAACAGTTCCAACAGCTTTACTAGTGTACCTACACAGAGAAAAGCCATACAGGTCATAATAAGCTAAGGGCCTATCCCGATCAATTACTCCATATATTGGAGTTAGTTATTAATACTGACATGAAAGTTATTAGAAACAGAATGGCTCTACATCAGCTCAATATGAGGTAAATGTCTTCACACAGACAGTGCAGAATGAGCATGGTCAAACTACCCTAGAAAGGACCTATAATCTGCAATTCCTGGCAGTACCTATTGAGCACTAAATGCCAATCATTGTGACAGATACACAGAAATAAAACATGCGCTAGGGACCTAACTCTGTGGGTAGAGTGCTTGCCCAGTATCAACAAAGGCCTGGGCTCACTCCCCTGCACTACCTGAACCTGGGAAGAGTTTGTAATTGCCCTCAGAAGTGGAACCAAAAGGGTGTCGGTTCAAGGTCATCCTCTTCCTAGGAAGTTCCAGGATAGCCTGGTCTACAGGGAAGTTTGTCTCAAAAGACACGGTATTTTGTTTGAAATATTGATAAATATAGGCACATAACATTTGTTTATACAACCCCTTTTTGTTTTTTCATGTTAGCTAAGGATGAAATTGTTGCTTGTTAAGAATAATGAAAAAGGAATCCTGTTTAAATTGAAC